TGCCTTTTACCCTGGAGTTCACAACCTATATCAAAACACTTATTAAGTTATGACAAAACATAATATATGTTATATGATAGTTACATACCAAGATTATGAGAGTAACATGAAGAGGGAGGTCAGGAAATTCCTCAGAAAAGGTGAAGCCTGAGTTGAGAGGAGTTAATAAAGCCTGGAAAAAGGCAACACGAGCAAAGGCTTAGGTTTGGTCTGGGGAATAGCCCTATTAGTCCAGTGTGGAGTTTAAGCTATAAGACTTTCTGTATTTTTGTTTATTGATTTTAGAGAGAGAGGAAGGGTGGAGGGGAGAGAGGGAAGGAGAAATGCTTATGTGTGAGAGGAACATTGATTGGTTGCCTTCCATACGGGCCCCGACTGGGGATTGAACCCACAACCTAGGTATGTGCCCTCACTGTGAGTCAAACCTGCAACCTTTTGGTGTATGGGAAGACACTCCAACCCACTTAGCCACACTGGCCAGGACAAGACATTCTGTATTTTATGAGTGAGGGCCTAGGACAAATCCAAAGATGTTCATGAATGACTATCCAATTTGGAATCCCAAAATGTAAAAGTTTAATAAATAACAGTATTCAGAGTCCATGTAAGACAAAGTTCTTTTAAGTTTGGGACTCAGAACTCTATTATGAAATATCCTAATTATACCAAATCAAGATGTTAAAATACAGAAAAGGTTATTCCTACCTATAATCATTTTAACATGTACACACATCATATTTATAAGAATTATGCCCTGGCTGGTTTGGCTCAGTGGATAGAGCGTTAGCCTGAGGACTGAAGGGTCCCGTGTTCGATTTCAATCAAGGGCATATGCCTCGGTTTCAGGCTTGATCCCCAGTCCTGGTTGGAGTGTGAGCAGGAGACAACCAATCGATGTCTCTCTCACATCGATGCTTCTTTCTCTCTCTCTTCCCCACCCTTCCACTCGCTCTAAAGATCAATGGAAAAATATCCTCAGGTGTGGATTAATAAAACAAAACAGAAATCCAGAATCTTTTCAATGCCAGGGTACAAAAAGCACTATCCTATATAATAAAAGGGTAATATGCAAATTGGCCCTAAAGGTGGAATGACCAGGAACGACCCATCTCTATGATGCACACTGACCACCAGAGGGCAGAAGCTCAACGCAGGAGCTGTCCCCTGGTGGTCAGTTTGCTCCCATAGTGGGAGCTCCGCTCAGCCACAAGCCGGGCTGATGGCTGCAAGCACAGCAGTGGTGGCGGGAGCCTCTCCCGCCTCCTAGGCAGTGCCAAAGATGTCCAACTGCTGCTTAGGCCTACTCCCTGGCCTAAGCCAGCAGGTGGACATCCCCCTAGGGTTCCTGGATTGTGAGATGGTGTGGGCCCGTCTGAGGGACCCTCCCCACCCCAGTGCATGAATTTTCATGCACCGGGCCTCTAGTTGTTAATAATGGTTAACATAAAAGTGATTAAAAAATATTAGTTATCCCCTTTCTTTCCAAGTTTCCTTGGAGAACAAGGAAAGGGCAAAAGAGGAGCAGAAACAACGGAAATATGTAACCAGATTCAGAATCCCTATAACACAAGGAGGGAGTAACAGCTACTGAGCCTTGTACCACAGCTGGGAAACACACATAGTACTGTAGTTTCTCCTCCAGCACAGGGACTGGCAAATTACAGAGGGCCAAACCTGCTGCTCTAGCACAAAAGCAGACACAGACAACTTGTAATGAATAGGAATAATCTAAGTTGCCCCAAGAGATTTAGTTTGGTGACTCCTAATCTAGAAGTAGAGGTCTTTTGCCCTGGCCAAAGTTGCTCAGTTGGTTAGAGTGTCGTCCCGATACACCAAGGTTGCTGGTTTGATCCACATACAAGAGTCAACCAGTGAGTGCATAGATGAGTGAAACAACAAATCAATGTCTATCTCTCCCTCCCTCCTCTTCTTTTCTCTCTCTCAAATCAATAAACTTGAAAAAAAAATTTCGAAGCAGAAAGTCTTTAAAGAATTATTACAAAGTACCATGGGAGCCTGTAATAGAAGACTTTAACCTGGTTTTGAGGAAGTGACTTTAAATAAAGACTGTAAGAATAGAGGAGCTAGACTTCCTTGGCTATCAGTGGGCGCTGGGTCAGCCCTTTTGCGCCTCCGCCCTTCCGACCAGTCTCTATGTGGTCTCCACTTTTGGTCCTCGGGTATCAGGGTTCTCTCCTGAGAGTTTTCCATTGATTATTCAGGAAGTTTTTCTGTATTTTAGTTGTAATTCCAGTTTGCTCCTGGGAGCATGTCCATGCAGCATTCACTTATTCTGACTAAAAACTTTATACAGTAGGAATATTAGTTTCTGATTCTATGGGCCAGTATTTGTGTCCAAACAGCAATTATAACCCTACTGAAACGTGGAAATTAAACTGAAATGCGTGGTTTTCCTCTGGGCAGGATGCAAAGGTGATTTCCTGGGTCCTTGTCCAGGTGGATTCAAGAATGGGTAGGATGTGATATGCAAAGTCAGGGGAAGAGGCTCCTGGTAGAAAAGAGAGGGAAGAACTTGACATATGATAGGCGATGTCCTTCACCAGAGAATGGTGAAGGCCGCAAAATGTGAGAGGGACGGGCCTCAAGTGGGGCTAGGAAGGCATGGAAAGTCACTAGAACATTTTAAACAGAGAAATGACATGATCTGACTTGACCCTGCAATATGGAAAACAGACCACAAGGGGATCTGAGTGGAAACAAGGAAAACTGAAGATACTCTTGTGGTAGTCCAGGCAAAAGATGATGGTGGCTTGGAACAGGGTGTTAGCAGTGAAGATAAAGAATAGAAGACAAACATGAAACATATTTTGTAGGTCGAAGTGACAGGATTTACTAAAAGACTTGGGGATGGGGTAGTAAGGGAGAAGGATCCAAGATGATTCTCAAGAGTTCTGGCCTTGGTAACCATGTGGATGACAATACTACTACTTTAGTGATAGAGGGAAGACCAGGTGTGGAATGACAGGAAAAACAAAATTTTCTTTTGTTACGTTAGGTTTGGGATATTTACTGTGACCTTGATAAAAGCAATTTCAATGGAGTGGTCAGAAGAGAAACTAGACTGGTATAGGGTGAAAACTGAATAAAAGCCGAGAAAGTTGACACAGGGAGAAATCTGGCTATGAAGGGAAATAAAAAAAGTAGGATAGTAGTTGGAAGTGGATAAGAGAAATACCAGAAAGAACATAATTTGTATGTTGATGGGAACAGGTTTTTATAGAGAGGTAGGATTTGGTAATTGATTTTATTGGGAATAACAGAGAGAAAAATCTAAGGACCATACACCCCGGATTCTGACTATGGTGCCATTATGGAGACCAAGAACATGGGAGCAAGAGCAAATGTATTTGCCTCCAAAGACCATACGTTTCCACAACACTGGGTAGGCTTGTTTACTTGTCAATGTCTACTGAGGGAGAACTATAAAATGTTATTGAACCTCACTAGTCTGCACCAGTTCCTGATGTGATTAATCTCCTGATGAGGTTTAAACTTAGGGAGGAATAATTCTATGCTATTAGAATCTAGCAGCCAGGTGAACCAATTGAATAAGAATGGGCTTGTATCGGCTGAAGAGACCCAAGTTATGGAAAAGGGTTCTAAATTCAGAGCTGATGGGGAAGCAATCCTACTTTTGTAATCAATATAATGAAGACTTAAAAACTGGTAACTTTCAGATAAACAGTGGAACTAAGCCCCCCCTCCAAGAAATTAATCAAATCCCAATTTGTTTATACGCTCCATGTCTATTAATAGCAGTGGTGTAACTTACTACTCCCTTATTATTTCTGATATTACAGTGAATTCCCATGGACACATTTTCAGAGAACGTAGGCCTCCCTTTTAAGAAAATTAAGTATCAGTTCTTGCAACAACCAAGGGAAATGAACTACTTCTGCTAGTTCAAGGAAGTGCCTGGAGAGAAAGGCAGAATCTGCAAGAAAATAAAGTTGGGTTTTTTTTTAATTTTTAAAAGATGTATTTTTATTGATTTCAGAGAGGAAGGAAGAGAGAGAGAGGGAGGGAGAGAGAGAGAGACATCAATGATGAGAGAGAATCAGTGATCGGCTGCCTCCTGAATGCCCCACTCCGGGGGTCGAGCCCACAACCCCGGCATGTGCCCTTGACCGGAAGGCCAATGCTCTATCCACTGAGCCAAACCAGCTAGGGCAAGAAAATAAAGTCTTAACTTTATAGCCCATTCTGATGTTTGTGGTAGGCATTTGTGGATGCAGGTAGCCATTTACAGCAAATTCTAACTCTACTACTATTCAGCACTACGGAAAGAGATGGCATTGGGCATAACTCTCTAGGCCTAATGGTCGAGCTGCTGAAAGGTCCACAGTTATCACATCCTCAGAACAAACACTTCAACCAACTGATCCTGACTCAGAAGCCGCAGATCCACTCCATTTCCAATCCTTTCGCGTGGCCCAGTTTTCAGAAGCTACGACAGAAGGACGGGATCCGAGGAAGCCTGTTGATCCCACAAGCAGCCCAATTCACGGGTTCTGGGTGGCACAGGGTTGGAAAAGTCTTGAGACTCTGAGCCACTACCCCGCTTTCCTCCTCCTTCTCCCTCTTAGAGCTGGGAAGGCCGGGGGCCCCGTTCTTCCTGCATACGACTCCCCAACACCTCCTTCCTTGCGGGACCAGGCCCTAAGAGCCTGGTTCCCCACCTGCCCGCTTCGAGGAGCACGCTTTCCAGCCCGAACTTCACGCACCTGAAGTCCGCTGCTTCTCCGTCGCGCCAAGCCCCCACCGAGGAAAATGGAGTCGTCAAACCGAGACTGGGAAAAGATAGTATGGACCCACCGCCCGGACCCTCGGCCGCCGCCGCCGCCGCCGCCGCTGCTGCGTCAACGTGCTACGTCACTTCCGGCTCCCTGTCACTGGGAGTGGGCGGGCCGCCTCTTGCTCTCTTCTCCCACCCGACTCCTCGGGGTTAGTCCCGGTTCAGAAAGGCCGTTTTCAGAACTGAGCGAGCCGATTGGAAGCAACCAGGCCTAGCCGGTTCCCCCGGCCGCTCTGGCCAAAGGAACCATAAAGACCAAACTAGGACTTCTTCATTTCCTCCTCTCTATGGTTCCGCTTGCAGCTTCCGGTTCCGGGGCGGGGCCAAGTTACTTCGGGGGTTAGGGACTCTGTAGCACCGCTAGGATGGCTGTGGTTTCGCTGCTGTTGTTCGGGGGATTGTGGAGCGCGGTAGGAGCGTCCAATCTGGCTGTGGTTACCTGCGGTTCTGTGGTAAAACTACTCAATACGCGCCACAACGTGCGGCTGCACTCACACGACGTGCGCTACGGGTCAGGTACTGCCCCCCCGGGTTCGGGTGGGCTAGGAAGGCTTGGTGGGCTCCGGAGGGGGCGGGGCCTGGAGAAAGTCTTAGGGGTGTGGTCTGGGAAGGTTAGGGGAGCCCTGGGAGGTTCTTGAGGCCTAGAGGCAGGGAGAATTGAGTTGTCCTAAGGCATTTTTTTTTAAATTTAAAACTTTTATTGTTGACACTTGTGGATGTCCCCCATTTTCCCCTCCTTTGCCCACCTCCACCCAGTCCCATCCCCACACTGTTCATGGGCTATGCATATATGTCCTTTAGCTAATTCCTTTACCTTCCTTTATCCAGTCCCCCCATCCCTCCCTTCTGACATTTGTCAGTGTGTTCCTTGTATCCATGCCTCTGATTCCATTTTGTTGGTTAGTTAGGTTCCACATTAGTGAGGTCACCTGGTATTCATCTTTCTCTGACTGGCTTATTTTGCTTAGCATAGTAATCTCCAGGTCCGCCCATGCTGTTGCAAACGGTAAGAATTCCTTCTTTTTTTATAGCTGTATAGATTTCCATTGTGTAAATGTACCAACCACATCTTGAGAAGAAAAGCATGTGTGTGTGTATATATGTATACATATATTTTTTAAAGATATTTTATTGATTTCAGAGAGGAAGGGAGAGAGAAAAAAAATCAATGATGAGAGAGAAACATCAATCAGCTGCCTCCTGCACACCCTCTCCTGAGGATGTGCCCACAACCAAGGTACATGCCTTTGACTGGAATCGAACCTGGGACCCTTCAGTCCACAGGCTGACGCTCTATCCACTGAGCCAAATCGGCTACGGAGATAGATATAGAGATAGAGATATATAGATATATATAGAAATATACATAGTTAGATATAGATATGTAGATATATATGTATATATATATATGTAGATATATAGATATGTATACACATATACATATACACACATATTTCAGAGAGAGGAAGGGCTAGGGAGAAAGGGATAGAAACATCAATGGTGAGCCCTGACCGGTTTGGCTCAGTGGATAGAGTGTCGGCCTGCGGACTGAAGGGTCCCAGGTTCAATTCCAGTCAAGGGCATGTACCTTGGTTGCGGGTACATTCCCAGTTAGGGGGTGTGCAGGAGGCGGCTGATCGATGTTTCTCTCTCATCAATGTTTCTAACTCTCTATCCCTCTCCCTTCCTCTCTGTAAAAAATCAATAAAATATATTTTTTAAAAAAGAAAAGACAAGGGTGGGGGAAAAAAAGGAGACATATGTAATACTCTTTGTAATACTTTAAGCAATAAAAAAAATAAAATAAAAATAAAAAAACAGAACAATTCTGCTAAAAAATAAAAAAAAAAGGAAACATCAATGATGAGAAAGAATCATTGATCAGCTGCCTCCTGCTCGCCCCCTACTGGGGGATCAAGCCTGCAACTCAGTCATGTACCCTGACCAGGAATCAAATTTCATGGGTCCACCCTCAACTGCTGAGCCACACGGAGTAGGCACCACAGCTTTTTTATCCACTCATCTACTAATAGGCACTTGTGCTGTTTGCAGATCTTGGCTATTGTAAATAATGCTGCTATGAACATAGGTGATGCATAGATTCTTCCTGGTTGTTTTGGGATTCTTAGGCTATATACCCAGAAGTGGGATTGTTGGATCAAAGGCAGTTCCATTTTTAATTTTTTTGAGGAAACTCCATACTGTTTTCTATAGAGGCTGCACCAATTTGCATTCCCACCAACAGTGCACTAGTGATCCCTTTTCTCTACATCCTCACCAGCACTTGTTGTTTGTTGATTTATTGATGATAGCCATTCTGACAGGTGTGAAGTGATACCTCATTGTTCTAAGGCATATTTTTAAAAAAATATATTTTATTGATTTTTTACAGAGAGGAAGGGAGAGGGATAGAGAGTTAGAAACATCGATGAGAGAGAAACATCGATCAGCTGCCTCCTGCACACCCCCCACTGGGGATGCGCCCGCAACCTAGGTACATGCCCTTGACCAGAATTGAACCTGGGACCCTTCAGTCCGCAGGCTGACGCTCTATCCACTGAGCCAAACCGGTTAGGGCTAAGGCATCTTAATGGTAATACCAGTTTCATTCTGGTGAGCTATGCGCCAGGTACATACATTACATACATACTCTTTTAGATTTATAACATTCCTACAAGGTAGAAATTACTGTTATCCTCATTTTACAGATGAGGAAACAGACTCAGAAATAAATGGCATGCTCAAAGCCTTGCAGCTAATGAAAGGCAGAGACAAGAGTTCGATCCAAATCTGTCTAGGGTTTGGTTCATAGCCTGCTTTCAACTACTCCAGGCCGGCACTAGTCAATTGTGGGAGAGACATACATGTAGAAAAATTACACTAAGTTCTGTATCTCTGAAGTTTTAAACTCCAAGAGCTCACTCTTTGACCATGACCCTCTGTTCTAGCTCTTTTGCATAGTAATACTTGCTCTTCAATCCTTTTCCTTTGGTCTCTTTATTCATACTTTACCCTTGTAAAGAATTTAAACTAAAGCACCCACTGGAATTGGAGAGGAAACTGTTTTGAGAGTTTTTTTATTCTATTAAATGAAAATGCTTAATTTGTGTTCATTTATATTTCAGCAATTACTTGTGGTTTCATTCAGTATAGATCAGTGATGGCGAACCTTTTGAGCTCGGCACGTCAGCATTTTGAAAAACCCTAACTTAATTCTGGTGCCATGTCACATGTAGAAATTTTTTGATATTTGCAACCATAGTAAAACAAAGACTTATATTTTTGATATTTATTTTATATATTTAAATGCCATTTAACAAAGAAAAATCAACCAAAAAAAATGAGTTTGCGTGTCATTTCTGACATGTGTGTCATAGGTTCGCCATCACTGGTATAGATTAATGAGCTCCTATTGTGTGCCTATTATTCTTGATACAGGAGATATGGTGCTCAGTCAGCAAGTTATAAGAAAACAAAAACAGACAAAAAGAAAAAATTAGTGAACTAGGGAGGAGAGAGCCATTTAAGGTGACTTTAGGTTTCTATCTTGGATGATTGATGATGCTAATAGCTAAGAGAGGAAGGAGTTCTTTCATGATTCTCAAAACCTGCTTGACCAGTTAGACTTGGAAAAGAACTGAGTTGTCATTGTTGGGATGTCTTAATCCTAGCAACCATTCAGTGAACACCTGCTATGTGTCTGCTTTATTACTTTGTTGTTGTTAATCCTCACTCAAGGATATTTTTCCTTTTTTTAAAAAAGAGAGAGTGGAAGAGAAGGCGGGAGAGAGAGAGAGAAACATTGATGTGAGAGAGACATATTGAGACTCGTTGCTTCCTGACTGGGGCCAGGGATCTAACCCACAACTCAGGTACATACCCTTGACCAGGAATTGAACTCGGGCCCTTCGGTCTGTGGGCCAACGCTCTAACCATTTAGCAACAACGACCAGGGCCATGTTATTACTTTTAAATTTGATCTAATAACCCCTAGGAAAGAGAGGGGTCCAGTTAAACTTACCTCTTTTCTTTTTTTCTTTGTTCTTTTTTTTTTTTTTGATTGCAGGTAGTGGGCAGCAGTCAGTGACAGGTGTGACCTCTGTGGATGACAGCAATAGTTACTGGAGGATACGGGGGAAGACCTCCACAGTTTGTGAGAGAGGAACACCCATCAAATGTGGCCAGCCCATTCGGCTGACACATGTCAACACTGGCCGAAACCTCCATAGTCACCACTTCACCTCACCTCTTTCTGGAAACCAGGTGAGGTGGCATCCTATGGGTCACTGCTGTTTTGTACTTTACTCAGTTGCATTGTTTGATGTCTTTGTTCTTAGTCCTTTCTTTTCCAGGTGTAGTAGATGTTCTCTCTTTTTAAAAAATAGGGTTTTTTGTTGGTTTCAGAGAGAGGGAGGGAGAGAGAGAGAGAAAGAGAGAGAGAGAAACATCAGTGATAATAATCATTGATCAACTGCCTCCTGCACGCCCCCTACTGGGGATAGATCCCGCAACCTGGGCATGCGCCCTGACCAGAAATCAAACCATGACCAGGATCCTGGTCCATGGGTTGATGCTCAACCACTGAGCACACCAGCTGGGCAGATGTTCTCTTTTGTGCAAACCTGGAGAACTGGCTTTGTCTCATACATGTGAAAGAAATTGTTTCTGGTCAAAATGGAGACTTTACATCTAGACCAAATGAGGAAGAAGGACAGAATAGGTATATGTTAGAATATTATAAAGTTATCTTGATAAATCCTACAATAAAGAAACCTCGCCGAACCGGTTTGGCTCAGTGGATAGAGCGTCGGCCTGCGGACTGAGGGGTCCCGGGTTCGATTCCGGTCAAGGGCATGTACCTTGGTTGCAGGCACATCCCCAGTAGGGGGCGTGCAGGAGGCAGCTGATCGATCTCTCTCATCGATGTTTCTAACTCTCTATCCCTCTCCCTTCTTCTCTGTAAAAAATCAATAAAATATATTAAAAAAATAAAAAGAAAAAAAAAAGAAACCTAATGGTTTCCAAACTTGCAATAAAAATTATTATTGTAATGATGCTGACTGACCACGTTAAGAAAATGAATTAGGTATTATGCCATTTTTTAAGCTGTGAGCTTTTGGGGGATGTGGGACCCCTTAATGACTGCTTCCTACTCCCACTCTGTACTCTGTACATAGTTTTCTCTATTAACATCTTACAGTTAGTATGATAGATTTGCTACAGTGAATTGATAATATTGTTACATTGCTATCAACCAAAGTCCATAGGTTATTCCAATTTTCTTAGTTTTTACTGCTATCCTTTCTCTGTTCCAGGATCCATCCAGGACACCACATTACATTTAGTTGTCACGTCTCCTTAAGCTCCTCTTGGCTGTGATAGATCTCAGATTCTTCTTGTTTTTGATTACCTTGACAGTTTTGAGGAGTGCTGGTTAGGTATAGTATAGGGTGCTCCTTAATAGGAATTTGTTTGATGTTTTTCTTATGATTAGACTGGATTTATAAAGGTTTTTGGGAGAAAGATCACAGAGGTCAGGTGCCATTTTCATCACATCATAACAAGGATATATACTATCTACATAATTTATGACTGTTGATACTGATTACCTGGCTGAATTTGTGTTTGTCAGGTTTCTTCTGTAAAATTACTCTTTTCATTTTCCTCCTGTCCATACTGTACTCTAGAAAGAAGACTTTGCACAGCCCACACTTAAGAATGGGAAGTTATGCTCTCCCTTTTTTTTTTTTTTCCAAACTGTAAGAGAAAGTTTACTTAGAAAGTCACAGAGGTAGAAGAAGTGAGCTGTAGAAGAAATGGGCTGAGGAAACAAGAGGCAAGAGAAGGGCCTTTGGAGCTTAGGAGAGAGAAAGGTAAAGGTAACGTGCCCGGGGGGATGATGAAGGGGAGGGGAAAGGAACGGGCTTGCTCCCTGGAAGGAGCACACCTGTGCTTCTGCTCCTTCAGGATGGAGTAGTTACATGATTTATTTGGAATTCTTCTGTATGGGAGATTTGTCTCTTTTTATTTAATCTTTTTTTTATATCAGTATGAACTTACGGGTGTTTATATGTATGTATATTAAGTTAGACATGAGTTCTTAATCATGTCTCCAACTCTAATCCATTACCGCATAGATCATTCTAGTCTCCTCCCTTTGCTTATTTGTAAATTCACACTCTAACAGTGAGTTATCTGGCTCCACTGTCATCCATTCACCTACTCATTCACTTCTAGTATACATACATAGTAGTAGAATTGTTAATTTTGTGCAGTTCCCTTTGCTTTAGTCTTAGTCTGACTGCTTTTTTTTTTTTTTAATATATTTTATTGATTTTTTACAGAGAGGAAGGGAGAGGGATAGAGTTAGAAACATCGACCAGCTGCCTCCTGCACACCCTCTACTGGGAATGTGCCCATAACCAAGGTACATGCCCTTGACCAGAATCGAACCCGGGACCCTTCAGTCCACAGGCCGACGCTCTATCCACTGAGCCAAACCAGTTAGGGCAGTCTGACTGCTTTTTATCGTTTTACATTATATAGCTATTAGTGTATATTTAAATTATATATTTCTGAATTAATCAGTAACTTTTTTATTGTGATAAAAACTCTGAATATTTGGCTCTAAGGGGAATGGGATTAGAAGAGGAGTGGAAGATAGAATATGCTATAATTTGCTCAATATTTCTTATTTTATTTAATTATTACAATTATTCTGTAAGGTGATATTGTTATCATTTTATAGAGGAGGAATTGCATAGGAAGGGATAGAGCTGACATTCAGGGTCTGCTTGTCTCCAGCTTGTTTCTCACCAGGTCATTCAAAATCTAGTTCAGGGGATAAGGCAGGAATATTTCAAGTCAAATAACAAGAGCTATAAAGTGTTTTAAGACTATAATAGAAAATATAAGGCTATAAGGCAAATAAAGAGTTATTGAAAAATTAGTGTTTGGATCATAAACTTACGGCAATTGCTTTTGTATCCTTTGTGTCTTCTTATCTTTTTTCCACAGTTTAAATTATTTACTTACTTCTAAACAACCCTGGAAAGCCTCTCATTTTTTACTTTTGGGTAGCCTTATTTTTTTTCCCATTGCCTACCTCCCCTTTACAAGCCTGTATGTATCAGCCATGCTAATGTTGCTACCATCTGTGTCTTCTAGGAAGTGAGTGCTTTTGGTGAGGAAGGTGAAGGTGATTATCTGGATGACTGGACAGTGCTCTGTTCGGGGCCCTACTGGGTGAGGGATGGTGAGGTGCGGTTCAAGCATTCTTCCACCGAGGTTCTGCTGTCTGTCACAGGAGAACAATATGGTCGACCCATCAGTGGGCAAAAAGAGGTGCATGGCATGGCTCAGGCAAGCCCGAACAACTACTGGAAAGCTATGGAAGGCATCTTCATGAAACCCAGTGAGTTGTTGAAGGCAGAAGCCCACCATGCGGAGCTCTGAGTCTGGAGGCTGTGAGCCACTGTCACCACACAGTGTTCATAGACACCTGCTGCTGCTTCACCGTGGGATCCCTGCCACGGGTTTCCTGGGCATTGGCCATGTCACCACTGAGATGAAGATGGTCGGCAGAAAACTGACTCTGTTTGGAGGCTTCGCCTTTTACAGTTGAAATGGTTGTTCTCTCAGACTTGGATCTGTTCTTTTTGAGTACAAGACTTGTTTGTGAAGGAGCAGGTGCTTTTAATTCCTACTGATAAAACAGAAACACAAATTTCCTAGTTGGGAAATTTTTACTCTTCAAAAACATGGCATCATGGATTATTAATGTGTGTGACTTTTCCCCTGCTTGCTTTCTCCAAAATGCTAAAAAAGAATTTCATTGTTAGCCACTGTGTTGTCATTTATTAGGTGTGCTATTTCATGATCTGATTAATTTTTTAATAGGTCTCTATTTTGTGAGGCAAGTTATTCCATTGCTTTTATTTTTATTCATTTATTTTAAATATATTTTTATTGATTTCAGAGAGGGAGAGGGAGAGAGAGATACAAGCATTGGTGATGAGAGAGAATCATTGATTGGCTGCCTCCTGAATGCCCCCTACTGGAGATTGAGCCTGCAATCCAGGCATGTGACCTTGACCGGAATTGAACTCGAACCTTCAGTCTGCAGACCGACTGCTCTATCCACTGAGCAAAACCAGCTAGAGCCACATACTCTTTTTACTACACTACAATTATGTTAGCTCTTGGTAGATAACTACTCTTTTGGGGACAAATGTAGGGATATCTTTCTTTGAAAAGGTGGGTAGAAAATTTTTGTCCTCTGCTTACCTCATTTTTTCTTTCCTCTGCTGGTGAATTCCAGAAAGTTTGCTCCTATGTCCTTCAAGCATGCAGTGGTAAACAGGGGTTTCTGCCATCTACTGGAATTTTAGTGACTAGCAGGCCTTTTTATTTTTAGAAACTTTCAGATTTTCTTCTCCTTGTTTTGTTAGGGAGTTAAGGTAGAAAACATTTCCAAAAGTTCCTGTTATACACTACTTTCCTTTTACAAAGGCCCCCGTCAAAGCAAAAATTCTCTTCGGTTTCTTTCCGTTAGTGAAAATAGGTACTAATGGCCCTGCGATGTGATTTGATCACCAGTAGGTGGCGTGCAGGAGGCAGCTGATCAACTATTCTTATCATTGATGTTTCTCCCCTCTCTTCCTCTCTGAAATCAATTTTTTATTTTTATTTATTTATTGTTTTTTTATTTTATTTTTTTTTTTTAATCAATTTTTTTAAAAAAGGTACTAATGAGAACTTTTGGAAAGCAGGGGATAGTTTACGCCATTTCAGCTTATGAAAGGTTTCATAGGCCCACTCTACTTTCAGATAGCTGGGGAAACCTGTAGAGATCTGTGATAGACATGGATTTTTGAGACATGGTTTCTTTGTAAGGACTTGTGTCATTAAATTGAGACCATGAACCAGTTTAGCTTCATTTACACCTTCTCCCCCCTATTCTGATTCAGTTGCATTGATCCCTTAAGAGCTCTCCAGAAAGTAGACCAGGGGTCCTCAAACTTTTTAAACAGTGGACCAGTTCACTGTCCCTCAGACCATTGGAGGGCCGGACTATAGTTTAAAAAAAAAACTATGAACAAATTCCTATGCACACTGCACATATCTTATTTTGAAGTAAAAAACAAAACGGGAACAAATACAATATTTGTATTTGCATGTGGCCCGCGGGCCGTAGTTTGAGGACCCCTGAAGTAGACAAATGATAAAATGAAGGCTATTGAGATGATTGGGAGTAGAATGTTAACAGTCTGGGAAGAAAAAAGAAATGAAATGTTAGAAACCAGCTGAATAGCCCTACCCGGTTTAGCTCAGTGGATAGAGCATCGGCCTGTGGACTGAAGGGCCCCAGGTTCAATTCCGGTCAAGGGCATGTACTTTGGTTGTGGGCAGTTGATCGATGTTTCTCTCTCATCGATGTTTCTATCTCTCTATCCCTCTCCCTTCCTCTCTGTAAAAAATCAATAAAATATATTTTTAAAAAAACCCAGCTGAATAAAGGGAACAGAATGGACAAGATGAATGAGAGTAGGGGGCTGTGTTGCAAAGTATCCCTCTTGGTTTGGACAAAGTTTTCACTGAGTTATTGGGTCTTCCCTAAAGGTTCACAGACAGAACATATCCTGACGGGAGGCTGCAGGTTACAAAGAGGATGGCAGAACTATAGTGCTTAAGGGATAAGTATGAACTATAACAGCGGTGGAGCCCTGGGGAAGGTGTGAAATTAGTGATGAGAGGACTAGATTAGGAAGGAAACCAGGTGGAGGGGTAAAAGCAATTTTGGGCAACCCAGGTGAAAGTTGAAATGGTACTTTATCTGAAGGCATGGAAGAGAGTCTTAAGTAAAATATTGGAGGGCGTTTACGGAGATTAGGATGTGAGAGCAAAGGTTTGTGAAGTACTTATTTTGAAATCCTCAGAATTTCTTCAGTTTGTACTGTATTAGCATCAGTGTAATAGAGTTGGAAGGGACCTTTGTCCAATTCCCTCATTTTATAGATAAGGAAACAGACAAAATAAAGTTGACCTGAATTCTCCATTTCATGTAATTGTTTGAAGGGCAAGAACAATATCCTCTACTTCTGTGGTATCCGCCCTCACCCCACCCCCAATGTGCCCAGATTGCACTATGCACGGTAGACATTGAAAACTCCAGCCCTGGCCGGTTGGATTCCGGGTCAGGGTACGTGCCAGTGATGCTGGTTCAATCACAAGTACGGGGTGTGCAGAAGGTCCATGGATGTTTCTGTCACATGTCACACATGAATGTTTCTTTCTCCCTCTCCCTCCCTCTCTAAAAACAAATTTTAAAAATCTTTAAATTAAAAAGAAAACTCTAATGAAGGGTTCAGAATTGTGCTGCCCCACAGGTCAATACATATAGGGTGTCCCCAAAAATATATACACACTTTAATAGCTGATAACTCACTTAATTTTCACTCCTTTTCAGGTTTAACTGATTTGAAATAATGGGTGAAGTCAGACTAAGCTTTGAACAAAGAAAATTTATCCTAAAGTGCCATTAGACTTTTTTCTATGGAGATACATAAAAGATAAAGTTTACCGTACAAAACCCGGCAAGAGTTGACGAATTGAGGTGCACAAATACCAAAGGAAATGATTATTTTAAAGATATATACATTTATTTCAGAGAGGAAGGGAGAGTGAGAGATAGAAACATCAATGATGAGAATGATGGATTGGCTGCTTTGCCCCCTAGGGATGGAGCCCATAACTCTGGCATGTGGCCTTGCCTTGAATTGAACCTGGGACCTCACAGTCCGCAGGCCTACACTCTATCCACTGAGCCAAACCAGTTAGGGCAGGAAACAATTCTTTTTTTTTTTTTAAATATATTTTATTGATTTTTTTACAGAGAGGAAGGGAGAGAGATAGTTAGAAACATCGATGAGAGAGAAACATCGATCAGCTGCCTCCTGCACATCTCCTACTGGGGATGTGCCCGCAACCAACGTACATGCCCTTGACCGGAATTGAACCTGGGACCTTTCAGTCCGCAGGCCGACGCTCTATCTACTGAGCCAAACTGGTTTCGGCAAGGAAACAATTCTTGATGTTTGAGATACTATTGCTTTGTGTTATCGGTGCCTGGACCAGAACAGTCATCAGTTTGCAAAAAGGCATTGACAAAAAAAAACTATTCATTTCTGTAGATTCTTTTAAATTTTGAAAATGAACTGTATGTTAATAAACACTGACATTATAATCATTCAAAATGTGTATACATTTTTTTGGGACACCTTATATTTTACACGTTTTCCCCCACCCCCCCATTGATTTTCAGAGAGAGTGCAGGGGAGAAATATCAGTGCGAGACAAAGACATTCATTGGTTGCCTCCCGTTGGCCCCCTGACTGGGGCGGGATGGAACCCTAACCCAGGTAGGTACCCTTGACCAGGAATTGAACCCGGGACCCTTCCTATGAGGGCCCACGCTCCAACCATTGAGCAACACCGTCTAGGGCTGGGACACCTGTATTAACTAACAAAGTATTCATACAATGAATGAATTAAAAAGTCATTCCTTAGTGAATTAAACACTAATTCCTTTGAGGCCTTACAATTAATTACCTCTTGGTTTTCTCAATGATTTCCAGACAAGGCTCCTGAATAAGACAGGAGAGCTACTTCGTATGACTCAGAGGTCTAACTTCTGCAGTATCCTCGGTCCAGACCCTAAGGTGGTCAAGCGACTCTATAACTACCCCACGGGAAGTGCTTTGTAAATGGAACTCTGTTGCCTGCCAGATACACTGCAAACCCGGGAGCTGTTCAGACTCCGACCCCACGCCAGGCCGTGGCTCCGCATTTCCGGGCACCGAAGGGCGCGCCCAGAGTGGGGCGTCCGTATCAGTCCCCACGAGGTCCATTCCCCAGCGCTCTCTCCCGAGCCACGCCTGCACTTCGGGCTGGCAGCCGGTCGGCCCCGCCAGGGAGCGCGCACGGGGCGGGGCCACGAGACCGCCGCTGGCTGGCTGGCTGCGAGGGGCGTGGCGCACGCGCGCCAACGCTTCCTGGTCCCGTGCTGTCCCTGTGCGCGCGGCTGGTCGGCCCACGGCGGGGCTGCGGGGAGCCGGAGGCGGGGCCCGGCTGGGCGGGGGCCGGAGCCAGGCCGGGCCGGGGCCGGGGCCGGGGCCGTAATGCCCCTGTTCTTCGCCGCGCTGTTGGCCTTGCTGTTGGTTGTGCTGTTAACCCTCTTCATAGGCCGGTGAGGGGGATCCCGGCTTCGGCGGGGTGGCGGGTGGGGGGTAGAGGTAGGAGTGGGAGGGAGAGAGACTGAGGAGGGGGCGCGCGGGAGGGGGAGATAGAGGGAGGAGAGGGCCAGAGGGGACGGTGCGCGGGCGATGGATGGCGGGCGGCGCCGAGGGAGGGGTGGAGCGGGGGCGCCGGTCGGAGCTGGAGCGGAGCCACTGGGATTGAGGAAGACGAAGGGAGCGGCGAGGCCTGCGGAGATGCCGAGGCTGGGAGCTGAACCGGGGTGTGTGTGTGAGTGAGGAGGGGGGCCGGCCGTGGTCTCCCTTTACCCCTCTACACGCCCGGGAGGCACCTGCAGCCGCGCCCTGGGGAGCCAGAGCCGGTCTGACCGCCCTGGGGAGAGCAGCTGGCGAGCTGGCCGGGGGTGACCCCGCAGTGCCTTCTGGCGGACATCTGTCTGCAGGGCGAAGACACGGACCCTGTGGGGAGTATGTGATGGCACATCCGACAGGGATGCCGGTACTCCGACTCCTGTGGGGGCCTCTTCTCTCCGCCTCTGGGGTTCCTAAAGGTCTGAGGGGCTTTGTCTCCAGCTTAGAAGGTGGC